CATCAGAGGCATGAGAGACACCAGAGACATAAGAAACATGGGAGACATCACAGATACTGGAGACAGCAGAGACACGGGAGACATCAGAGACATGGGAGACAGAGACAGGGGAGACATCAGAGACACAGGAGGCATCAGAGGCATTGGAGGCATGGGAGACATCAAAGACAACAGACACCAGAGACATGGGAGACATTGGAAACACCAGAGACATGGGAGACAACAGAGACATCGGACACACCAAAGACATCGGACACATCAGAGACACCAGACACATATAAAACAGGGAGGAACTAGAGGACCACTGACCGTGCTGCGGAGCTTCTCCAGGAGAAGGTTCAGCTGCGTCTGCAGAACAAACACAAAGACCACTTAGTCCACGACAACAGAACCAGCACAGACCTGACAGGAGGAGGTCCAAACAGCTGAGGGCGTCTCAGAGCTCGTCTTCGTTCAGTTTTTAGAATCCTATGAGAGTCCTTTGACACCCTGTGAAACCGTTCTTTGTTTCTTGTTGTGACATCATCAGAAAGATCGAGACGTTGGACTGAAAATATATAACTGTCCGGTTTGGTTCTGACGGGTTCGTCCTCCTTTCTGCTCTTTGATCCTCAATATGAACCAGATCTGGACTAAAGAGGCCGATTAACAGCATAAATGATCAGAATTATTTTAAAATAAAAACTGCATTTCTACAGAGATTCTGCAGATTTAGCCGTGAACAAGGAGGTGCGATGTGGGCAACAAACCAACGAGCCCCAACAGTCTTTAGAGCCGTGAACACAAAAATAAATTGTGATTTTTCATGAACGTGCACGGCTGCACGGCTCGCTGGTCGCCAACACTCACCTGAGGAGCAGAAGAGGATCATGAACCCTGAGACAGGAAGTGAAACATCTTGAAACTCAGAAGTGACGTCACCTCGTTAAACACGATCAAACAACCCATGACTCGTCCAAGGTCGGCGACTCCTGAGGTCCGCTTCAACAGGTGAGCTTCCTGTTCCCGTCGAGCACAGCTGGAGGATTTCGTCAGACGTGAGGACAGAGCTGGACGAACGAAGACAAAGTTTGTCCCCGACTCTGCTCATGGTGTTTCCCTCGCGCTGTCCCCCCCACCCCCCCGTCAACAAAAATCACGAAAGATATGAGCGCCCTGCCAAAGCAAGTAAATAAGGTAAACGCTGTAGGCCAGGGGCCCCCAACCACTGGGCTGCAGACCGGTACCGGGCCGTGGGTCAATTTATACCGAGCGCACAGAAAAAATTAAATAAACTTTTATTTAGAAAAATCACTGTATTCTCTCCACCACATGTGTCAATGAGTCTCGCTGGACGCAGGTCAACATACACAAGGGGTAAGTTTCAGCTTCTGTTAGACGCATGCGCAGATCGGTTCTACTGCGCCTGTTGGGTGGAGTAATTCAGCTGGTGGTCTGGAGCAGGCAGGAGGAGGCGCAGCCGTGTCTGAAGGATCGCTGCGTATTTTCAACCCGCCTGACAGAGTCGCTGTAAAACTGAACTAAACAAAACTAATTTTAAACAAAGCTTCCTAACATCACATCAGAGCTGGTCCTTCGCATTTCTGCTTCTGCTCCTAAAAAGAATCTCCGCCCCTAAAAGTTCAGAGTCAAACACCGATATCGGCCGACCGATATATTGACCCCGGCCAATATATCAGTTTGGCATTAGCCTCCCCCTCCCAATATCGATAGAGGATAGCCAAAGTTTCCATACCGGTTGGGCTCTAGTAACAACATTTAACGTGTCCAGACAATCGTGAACCACGTAGTTTTCCACATTGTGGTGGACCTCCATATTTGATCGCAGAGCAGCCTTTCGGTGCTTCGGCTAGCAGCAGCTACATGTGCACCTCTGGTTGATCCTCAGCGACGCTTCGAACACGTCACAGAGTCATTTATGCAAACAAGTCTTTGCAGCTGCAGTCGTTCAGATAAAACATACAGCAGTTCTACTTCCAGGCTCGTGGCTGAATGTCAGCTCAGCTCTTTTGGTTCTGAAGCAGTGGAATCAGAAGGACAGATCAAAAAGATTCAATCCTGCGATTCGATAGAAGAATCCACACTGCAGCTGAGTGTGAAACATCTAAGCCTTCCGAGGCTGACGGTGTCAGTATTATCTCACCGAGGATCGACCACCACCAGGAATATAATCCACGTCTGTACAGGCATGAAAGGACCAAGTATTTGAACATCAAAGACCGGGAGCTTCTATGAAATCCATAAATCCGTCTGTGTGTTCTCCCCGACTTCTACCACCAGCCGCTGACGTTCTTTAAAGAAACGTTTCTTCAGGAGGGCGGAGCTGCGTTTCTGCTCGCCGAGCGTTGCTTCAATGACAGAAACCTTCAGCTGGGCCGTAAAAACTGTCTGCCTGCAACTACAGCAAACACACTCACCGCTTCCTGGGATCAAAGTCCTGAAACCCTTCAGTCATGAGGACAAATGTTAATAAAACATTCATAAAGTTTATTATTAGTAGAAGATGACAGAAATAACAACTGATCAATCAATCGACGTCAACATTAACCCACGAGTGTCTGCAGGAGACACCGCTCATTCTGGTCCAAGTCCTTTGTTCAAATACCACAAACGGTCTCTGGTCTATTCGTACCTCAGCAGCTTCGGTCACCTCGTACCTTTGAGGTTTTGGTCACGTTGTTTCTTTAAGAGGTGAAAATAATCTGTCGTCTGAAGGTCTCTTTGTACCCCCCAGTCAGCTGTCCACATCCTTATTTACTCTAATGTCAGTCCTCTTCTCAGCCCATCATCCGTCCATCATCCGTCCATCATCTGTCCATCATCCGTCCATCATCTGTCCATCATCTGTCCATCATCTGTCCATCATCTGTCCATCATCTGTCCATAATCTGTCCATCATCTGTCCATGATCCATCCATCATCCGTCCATCATCCGTCCATGATCCATCCATCATCTGTCCATCAGCTGTCCACATCGTCTGAAGGTCTCTTTGTACCCCCCAGTCAGCTGTCCACATCCTTATTTACTCTAATGTCAGTCCTCTTCTCAGCCCATCATCCGTCCATCATCCGTCCATCATCTGTCCATCATCTGTCCATCATCTGTCCATCATCCGTCCATCATCTGTCCATCATCAGTCCATCATCCGTCCATCATCTGTCCATCATCCGTCCATCATCTGTCCATCATCCGTCCATCATTCGTCCATCATCTGTCCATCATCCGTCCATCATCTGTCCATCATCTGTCCATCATCCGTCCATCATCCGTCCATCATCTGTCCATCATCTGTCCATCATCCGTCCATGATCCATCCATCATCCGTCCATCATCCGTCCATGATCCGTCCATCATCCGTCCATCATCCGTCCATGATCCGTCCATGATCCGTCCATGATCCGTCCATCATC